CCCCCAAGATAGCGATCAGTTGGTTTATAAGTGGCTGAAAAAACCTTGGTTTATGGTAGATATAACGAACTAGTTAATGGGGATTATAATGGTTTATAAACATTTTATAAACCAACTTATAACTGGGGGGCCCCATCTTGTGATGATTCGTGAGATTTTGGAGGCCCAACGCTTCTGGGCACCAAAAAATTAGGGGTAGAAATTGTTTGGGTTCGGCGACACCTGTGCTGCTGGTTCGGGTTTCTGATTCAAAATCATTTCACGTGGAATTTGTGTAGCTGTTTGTTTTGGCAAATTGCGTTCAGGTACCGCAATTCCATTGTTCCCTGTCGTTTTTTAAATTGATTATAGATGGTTATAGATCATTACGACGAACTTATCTGACATCAGGATACCCACACACACACACAATGGCAGTTTTCAAAGGGAAAGTGACTGTCCCAACCATGACATCTTGTGTTTGCCCCAACATTTTCAGACAAACGTTACTCATGATACTATGGTGATTCTGGATGTGGTTTTGTCATGTTTTGTCTTCAAAATAGGATATACCGTATACCTTCAAAATCCACCGGTAAATCAATCATTATTACCCTCCAGTAATCAAACGTGGCAATGGACATTCCCCTACCAATGGAAGTTTCGTTCGCTGGGAAACTCATCGAACAAAGAATGGTGGATTCTCCAAAACATGTTTTACACTATTTTACACTTATATATTTCCAATATTTCCAGAGGGTATCTGAAAATTGCCATAACAGTTGTGAAATCCAGTTGGGTATCAGTTCAACTGGGGGGTGAAATCCAAGATCCTTAGGATTTCACGAAGCGAAACAGGTGGATCATCATCATGGCCTACTTCTGCCTCTATAAGGCCCCGTTTCTTTGGAAGTGGTGAAACCACCATTTTTTTGGGATGGAAGGTACTTGGAAATGGTGGATATTGGTGGATTTTGTGATTTTTTGGGTCAAACATCTCAGGTTGTTTTGGTATGTTGGATATTGGTATGTTGTGGCCTTTTCAGGGGAAATTCAGCCTGTTTCTAATGGGCCTCCAGTCCTGATATTGATACAACGTCCATGAGAAAAAGTACCCAAAAGTGGGTCATGTCTCCCTATCGAAGGCAAAACCCCAGATCTGGTCCCCGAAAGTGAGAGAAAAAATGCAGGACACTTCCACCAAAAGTGATATCTTTTGGATATTTTTGGATGACGTCAGGGATGAAATAGGTGAATTCCAACGTCCTCCGTCAACGTCTCGACTAGTCATGGCTGCCTTCCAGGTATGGCGATCCTGCGAAGATTACACGGTCGAAGGGCATTCTGGACTGAGATATGTCCCTTGGCTGCGAGGCCCTTGACATCCCTTGACCCACCATTTGGGATTTTTGTCGCTGTTCAACCCATCATTCTGGTACACAATTTCGAGTTTTTATGGTTCAACTGGGTCAACTGTGTCAACTGTGTCAACTGGGTCAGTTTAGAGGTTTCATATCTCTAAGGCGCCTCGATGCTTTGAGTTGTTGATCCTGTCAAGCCATTGAGTTGATACCTCTTGTTATTCAACAGTTGGGTATTTTAAACCAGCCCATAGAAATACGGCTCAGGCTTGTGATAAGAAATTTGGGGTTTAGAGTCTAATTTTTTTCTTAGCTGCAAGCCTCTCATCACTGGTTAAGAAATGGGGCTGGCAAATAGACTTTCAACATCTTTCAACTAGGTCTCGGACGATCCCAGCAACTTTCCTCCCACAATTTGATCCTCTCCCGTGATGACACACATACCTCATAGAAAAAATGGGCGTACAATCCCCACATCCCCACATGTTGTAGCTAGCCCCCCTATTCGGGCCTGTGTTTCAGGTCTGCAATGACTCTGAAAGGCCAATCCCAGGACAGATAGATACATACATACTAATTGCACCTAATTACCAAGATCAAAATTCAAGGTGAATTGGAAATTCAGAAAGTCCAAAAACAAAAAACATGGCTAAAAAATCCAGCCCCTGGATGTTTTTTACAAGTTTTTTTTTTGCACAACACTGGCACTGTACTTGCGATGGGACCCTAGTCGTAACCTTCCGTTTTTTTACAATACTTTTTTATACAGTACTTGCGCTGTATAAAATACGGAATAGTGATATAAGTACACGTGGTGAACAAATACGTTTTTTGCCGAAAATAGAGTCTAAGCAATTTACTTTCCCCCAAAATTAGAGTCTAATTTCTTGTTTCATAGGATTTCTTGACACAATCCCGAAAGTATAGATGATTTATGATGTTTTTACCCATAAAACATATGGTGATTTTCCAGTTCGCTACAGTAAATCACATGTTCCAATAAAATCTGAGGTTTCGCACTTTTCTCATGCTGCCACACCTCCACACCGTGACATATTCAGGGTGTCTGGTTGCTATGTTTGCTGCAACCCAGTGCAATAAATCTACCATTTGGGGGACCAGCCATTTATGGTGATTTGGCGGTTTATTGTTGCCACATAAAGTCGATTTTCCATCTCCGGTTCTTGAGTAACACACCGGTTTCAACGCAGAAATAGCAGGCCGAGTTCCCCGCAGAGTCCCAGTTATGGCCATTTATTAGTTATAAGTACTTATAACCCCATTTATAGAATGTATAATCCCATTGAAATAACCAGTTATAACTGGTAAATGGCCATAACTGTAGAAACCTTTGCAGATGGTGTTTGTTGATGGTTCAGTAACTGGGCACCAGTGGCCCAAGTTCTGCAGCGTTCAGGTCCTTTCACTCGCAGGAGTCTTAGACGCTTGTGTGGTGGCGCTCTTCATTGCACTGCAGTGAGCCTCTGGAAGACCCCTCTGAACATACAAAAAACTATGGAAAGATCCACCCTTTTGAATAGGTAAATCAACTATTTCAACTGGGTTATTTTCAATAGCACACTGTTAAACTATCAGAGGGCAAGCGACCAGTGAAGGGGATGTGATCATGTTTGTTGTTTTTTTCAGTGGGTACATGATATGGGATGTAGCTAGCCAACTATATGATGTTTGGGTGTGTCTGAAATGGGGTATACCCCCCCAAATAACACATTTTATGGGGAAAATTGCATTAACAGTTGGAACGGGGGGGGGGTACCCTTTTTCAGACAAATCTGTTTGCTGGGTGTCTACTTGAATTGTCTTTCTTTCCCGATGTACACAAATTGACGATGGAAGTGTTTGGATGGGTTGAAACCCGTAATCAACAATCACCTGTGACAGCGGGGAATCCTGACTTGCTCTATGTCCATTAGCCAGTACTAGCCATCACCACTGCAGATCATAGTGTCACTGGTCAACATTGTCCAGCCATGAATCATTTCATATGTGAAGACCGGCAGACGACTTGGGATCCATCAATTCAGATGGAAACAATATGAGCACCAAACAAATGGGTCAGAAAGCCATCAACACAACATTGGCAGTAGAAAAACATGAACACATACTACTATAAACAAATCCAATGTGTTGATTGTCAAACATCTGTGCTTACCATTTTTTCCATATTTTTTCATATGGTATTCTGTCGGCCCCACCTGGTCACCATTGGTCGTTTTCTGCCCCCCTTGAGGTACGGCAAGCTCGCCAAGCAACGACCCGTTGAGCCCATGAGTAGCAGCACCTCGCAGGCGCAGCTGGCGCTCCCGAGACGAGACGTTGGTTTTGGGCCTGGAATATGTTTGATTGGATTGGTTTAAGGGAATTTACAGGAAACCATAGATTTTCCCATGAAATATGGGGCTTTCCTGCAGATTTTCCCTTAAACCAATCCATTGAATATTGGAATTTTCGTGGGTCAAAGATGGACGAAACGATGCAAAAGGTGAAGAACGATGTTCTTTTACCCTCTGGTAAATTAACTTGTTGACCCTGAAAATCACCAATTTTTAGAGGAAACTAATCTTCCAACCCTGATGACTGCCAGGGTCTATGTTAATTTACTGTGGAGGGTAATTCTGGTACCATTGTTTTTTTGGTTTCGTGGTAGTCGATAGGTTCTTCTTGATAACTTCTGGACTGCAAGTCGTCGTTCCAGGGCCCAATTGCAGCCATCATTGATAGCAGGACTCAATAACCCCCGCCCCTGTTTGCCTGCAAGGCACAAGGCAATGGTGGAACACACCATAAACCCATATAAAATCATATAAACCCCCATATGGCGGTTTCCTCAAGGCAAAATTATATGGTGACTTGGGGATCCCCTATTTTCTTACTGGTGCTTAGTAGGGAATGGATGGGAAAGGGGGAATGGGATGATTATTACTAGTGATTATTGATCATTCCTCATTCCCTGCTAAGCACCAGTAAGTTTTAAGAACCCCCCGGATTTTCATGGTGAGCCCCACCTAACCCTTAAAATGGGCACCACCAGCCCGGCCCCAGAACTTCGTCTCCTACAGTCGCTGGGCTGCTTGGGAGGAGACCGTGACTGCCACAATGCAACTGGGATCCATGCTCCGGAGACACAGGCGATCCATACCCCCGGATCCATAGCCTTTTGAAGAGATACCCTCTGGTAAACTAACATAACTATGGAAAAACACAATGTTTAATGGGAAAATCCACTATAAATGGCTATTTTCAATAGCTATGTTAAATTACCGGAGGGTAGAATTCAATCATTTCAGCGTAATCCCTTCATATTCGCCTTCGTTTCATATGTCATCCAAAGCCCTCAAAATGAGCACCATGATCATGATCATATGCTGGGGGCCCATGATTTTTTTCGGGGGATGAGATCATTATGAGAAACCAACTTTTTAGACATTTCTTAGTTGCCTGAAAATCTCCAGCACTTTTCAGATTCCGTTCCGATTTCTGTAGCTTTGCTCAGGTGCTCAATATTTGAACGCCATGATTTTCATGATTTCTCGGATGACATTTACATTCCATAGTTTCCCATATTTCCCCATAGGGTTTCCATATTTTCCTATATTTTCCTATATATTTTTGGCGCATCCATCCTAAGCATCCCAGGAGATGCAAGTCATCGGGGAAGCGGTGTTGTTGATGCTACTGATTCTGAGGTGAGCCGAGTTGGGATGAAGTTTTTATGGTTTTTTTTTGAGCTTTTCAGTAAGTCACGCGGAAATATTCGTTAAAAACGTCACGCGGAAGCAAAAAAAGCAAGCCGTTTGAAGTATTGAAATCCATGGTGACTTGAGGATCCTCCACCCTAAGAAACCCGCATAGAGTGTGGGTAGATTGTGAGACATTCTACGGAACAATGCTGAAAGATGGACATGATTTCTCAATATTTCTCAGTACTTGAATGATTACTGGAAAGCCATTCCCAGTTGAGCAGTTGATCTATCGGATCGGGCCGGGCGGCAACTGGCAGGTACTGCATGTTGCTTCGCTTCTTCCCCAGCGTCTATCGCTTCTTTATCCTCTTTCAAAAGTCTGTGCGTGTGAGCCTGTGCGCCGGCATCAGGTCGATGGAGGAGGGGAGACTCGGGATTATATATATATAGAGTATATTTAAGTATGGTATAGTATTGTGTAATATATACCTAAAGCTTCAAGAACCTATGAAAACGTAGGTCCACTCAAAAAAGCCAGGGTTTCGAAACAAGACCCGGGGTTTCGAAAAAACACGGGTTTTTCCAAATTCTGGAAAATCATAAAAATGCTGTTATTTCTCATGACAATGGTTTTCTTCCTCATGTGCGTACCCTTTCTCCCATCACCCCTGGTGTTGCTACCCTCTTGCGACTCATGTTTTCTCTTTCAACCTTTCAACCTCTTTCAACATGGTATATAGTTATATAATCATATAACATATATATATATGAGCAAAGTTCGGAAGCTGACAAGTTCAGATCGCCGAACAAGAATTGTTGAAGTTTAGTGAGTGGTTGGTACTAGCAATGTAATTGGGTTTTACTCCCTTGTATCATGGATTATATAAACTTCTACTTATCTCTAATACCCATGATGCATTCCACTTCCAAAGGAGCACCCTGGTTTCGTAGTGCATCGAATCATTTTCAGGATCTGATATTTTCAGGGGTATTGGATGGGGGTTGTTAGATTACATCCCCATGACAATTCTCTGGTTTTGTTGATGGTATCCCTGATTATATTATACCGTTTACTTCATTCCAGGCTCAGATCTGGGTAAATCCACCCAGTTCAAGTCATCATCGCTACGCTTCACCATCAGCACCGCAAAACCCTCCCCATGGCGAAATCACGTTGCACCACGGGGACCTGGACGTTCCTGGAAGTTCTGACTGCTGCAGGTATTACCTGATGATCTTTGTGCCCATCGGCCTTTCCACCGTCTTCTTCGCCAACACGCTCTACAGTCCGCCACATCCTAAGGACACAGGTTGCCAGCTAACTCTCTGTCAACCTGGAGGTGAGTCCGAACATGTTGGCACTGTGGAAACCATTGGAAAACCGTAAATGTGAAGGTTGAAAAAATAACAAACTCCTCCTAAACGGCCATACATTTTTTTGGGGAAAAAACACATTTTCAGACACACAAAAGTGTGGGGCCTGTTGGTAATTCTTCATTTTGTTGCAGCCAATCTTCCGGGTATGGATCAATGATGATCATAGATGGGCCCTCCAAATTCACAGTCTAGCAGCTAGGGGGCTTCCGAAAGCACCGAGGTATGTGGAAGGGTATAGCACCTGGGTGAAGTCTGGCATGAGTTTCGTGGTCCGGGAGCCCTGTGACAGTCTGTGTTGGGATGGAGGCGTATTACAGACAGCCCTTTGTTAAGCTGTCCATAGATTCACACCCCAAGAAATCCAAGGAGAAGTCGTGATTTAAAGAACTTGTGACAGATTTATTAATAATAGATATAGTAATTCTACGGTAATTCTATAATCATTTACAATCTGACTATATCTGACTGGTTTTCTGATTATTTTGTTGGCACGGTCTTACCATCAATCTGGGTGCATTGAGGTGAAGTCATGTTTTTTTGTGGACTCGGTTTTGCATGTGAAGCCAGACCCATTTCATCCATTTCATCCATTCGTTCCTGCGTAAATCAAACGATGGTTTTTAATAGGATCACCCGTGGCAAGAAGCACCCGGAATCCCCTTGCATGGCAAGAATCAAAAGGGAATTCTTGTCATCGCCGAAGAAGAGTGATGTGACCAACTCTTATCCAAGAACATCCCCTACGCCACCGTCTCCTAGTTCTACTCAGTGTACTTCCCATAAAAAACATGCCATCCCATGGCAAAATCGCTACCCAGTCGTCTCTGCAAAACGTGGTGGACATCGACGCCTTGTTCAAAGCCAGTCCTGTCTGGCGGCTCAGCCACCTTTTGAAGCCACCTTTTGAGGGGTCCGCCCCTTCCGGAGATATTTTCTGTTATGGGATGAGAACCCCAATTGCCCGGTATTTTACCGGGCCTGGGGATTGAAACCAGCCAGCAAGTTGGGCGGCATCGGCAGATGGCCGGGAATCCCATTTTCATGGATTGACGCATAGGTGTTCTCTTGATATGTCTATTTTGTTACCCATATGCGAACCATGGTGCTGGAATATGAATCCCACCATTTAACATTTACCCCATAAATGATAAATGGTCCAAATGTAGGAAAATATACTATATACATGGAGCATATGGGTTATAACTGTTATTTCAGGAAGCCCGGAGAAAAAACACGTTGAATCAGGCTTGGACCTTTGCCTACAGTCTCTACTGTTACTTGGTGCTGCTGGCAACTTTTGACACGGCATGGAATTGGAGGGGTGATGGAACTTTGATCTGCTTTCCGGATTTCTATGTGATACAAAATTGATGTCATGGTTGTGGTGTTTTCAGACACTTTCTACCAGGGTTGATTGGGATCGTGTGGCCTTATTTAGAATTTTGATTTGCTAATCCATACTGTCTTGTAGTCACATCTAGAAGTCATTATTGTCCCATTCCAGCCCCATGTCCTGCAGAGCCAATCGCAGGCTGTACCGTGTTCGAAAAACATTCAGCCAGGGTGTAACCGTTTCACCAGGGATCGCAGGTCGCTCCTGGTTTCTCCCATGGATTTGTTGGACAGAGCCAGACAGCCAGATATTCCACCCATATTGCGAACCATGGTGCTGGAATATGAATCCCAACATTTGCCCGAACGAAATCACCCAGTTTTGTAGGTAAATATACCACACATGGAGCATATGGGCCATGATAATCCCCACTTTCAGATTTTTCAGGGCAGCATCCGGGCAGCATCAACCAGCCAGGTGCTCTTCTGCTTCTTTGTCAATGGCTTCTTGGCCATCACTGCTTATGCGTGCGCCATGGGACAGTATGGGACCACGGTAAAGCGGTAGATTACCTCACGACCTCACGTCGCGACCGAAGCCTGGAATCATGGATAGGATTCGGGGAATTCTCCCAATATAGACTTTCAGGTTTGTGCAATATTACAATTTCCCCGGATATATGTCATACATGATCATATAATCAATATTAATCAATATATGTGGATATTTTTCGTAAAACATCTCACACAATCTCGAGCCATTTCTTAAATCATCTCAACCAATCTCAAGTCTTTTCAACTCATCTCTAGTTACTATAGTATTATCGAGTTTTGTCTTATAATAGTAGTCAGACGCAGTTGGCTGATAGATACCCTCTGGTAAACTAACATAACTATGGAAAATCACCATTTTCAATGCGAAAATCCACTATAAATGGTCATTTTCTATATAGCTATGTTAAATTACCAGAGGGTACCAACCATATCCACTCGCCTCGCACTTCAGCCAGGTACTTTGAAGTGGAGTTGACGGAGCACTCAGATCCCAAGTACAATCGCTGGTTGGGGCCCTCAGTGGGCGCAACCAAAAAGGACAAGGTTCGGAACAGAAAAAAGGCTGGAAGCATCATGGATTATCCACCCCACAACAAAAAGGGGCTACAAGAAGTTCGAATGTTCCGAACTCTCGATTTATTTTCTAGGCGTCAATTGAATAGGTTTCAAAAAAACACCATTCCACTCCACATCCCAAAAAACGTGTTAATTGTGGTTCTGTGTCGTGTTCAGAAGTTTCAGAAGTTGCCACTGGCAGCTTTTGCGGCTCCAGCAGTTGTGTCCTCATTGAAGCCTCATGAGAGTTACCCAGCTGAGTCACGGTTCTGAAAAACGTACCCAGCTGAGCGTTCGGGAAATCCCTGGCTCCATAAAGATTGCCAGGAACCCAAACTATCAAGGCAAAGATTCAGAAGATATTCATAGATGATCCATCGATGTTTCACTACTTGCGGGTGCAGTTGGGCTTATTGATGGCTAGAACTTTATCTATAAATGCCAATCAGATAGAATATTAGCCCCTATGGTTATATAATGTTATATATATATATATACACACCCACTTAGTTCACTGGAACTTCACTTCCACGATATTTTCCATGAGATAAAATTATGCGCAGTTCTTTTGCTTGCGGGGTGTCCTGGCTGGGCAGCCAGACACCACGGGACACCACGGCCGCGCAATGGGAGTGACCCGCAAAGTCACCTTGCGTGCAGCCTTGACGGGCTCGAAGTTGGGAGAGAAGGAGGTGACCCATGTGACCCCGGAGATTTGGGAATCTCCAGTCACCATGGGCGCAGATGATGCTTTTGGGGCTACCCCCATGATTTCTTGGAAATCTCTTAGTATAGGTCGGTTGAATGCTTGTGGATGGTTGTGGATGGTCTATCTACATTTATCTACGATCATGAGATTTTTTAGTCAATGGAGGTCAATGGGAAATAGTTATCATGGCTTTGTTTAAGGTGATTTTGGAAACACACAATTGGGAAATTCATAGGGGATATTCTTCATTTTGTTGGGAGTCCTTAAACAATTCCTTTCCAAAAATTGGATTATGCGAAACGTTACAGGAAGCCCCTACATCTCCGATCATCAAAAGCATGTTTTCCAGTGTTTTTCTGCATATGCATGTTCTATCACGTTCTCGAAGGTCAGTCCGTTGATTTTGCCAAATACAGCTCCTATTTGTGCTGGGTTGAATAACTACAGTATAAATAAGAACCCTTACTGATTTAGGGAAATCCTTAAAACAATTATGTGCATCGTTTTTTTGGCTGGCCAAAATTCATCATTTTTAGTGGGAAAGCACTTTTATGTGACCCCAGGATCAATGAATGAACCCTGGTTGATGGATTAAGTGGGACGCTCAAAGTAGTGACAATCGACCATGACAACTTGCACCCGCCAATTAAATATGAATCAGGTGTTTAGAATAAAACCACAACTACTTACCATTGATAAATTATTTAGTAGCTAGAGTAAGCCAATGGTTTAGTACAACTATTGAAGTTGGAGTTTTATTGATCCGGGGCAAAAACACTACCTTATTTGAATCTGTCTGCAAATAAAAAACATCAATCCACTGGTTTTTATTATTTTCCCCTTTAAGATTGCAAAACAAACTCGGAGTATTAACCAGACCCCATTTCCAGACGAACAACCCATATTTTTTGTGATATATCCCACAAAATATCTCCATAACTTCAATTGTTTGCCGGTGACATTTCAATGAATTTCCACTATGAATAGTGGTAACACCCCAAACTAAATTTCATTCACTAAAACCCGCCAAATGCATCCACATGCAGCACGTGTATTGGTTAAACATCATCACCTTCCCATTCTTGGTGGTCATATCACCAATTTCCCATAAATTAAACTATCCCCATTAAAAAGAAAATGATTGGTTTCCCAATTGAGGATCACCATTTTCCCAAGGATATCCCATCCCCAATATATATAATACATCTGTATATATATATATGTATATATATATATATACATACATATCTATCAGAATCTATCATCTATCTCTCTCTCTCTCTCTTCCTTTTCTTGGTTGGTTCTATTCCCACACGCCTTTTTTTTACCCGGTGGCAATTTAACATAACCATAGAAAATCACAATGTTTGATGGGCAAATCGTCCATGAATGCGTTTAATGAACCATGTTCATCAATTTTCCATAGCTATGTTGAACTGGTTAGTAGCCACGCGTATAATCCATTTATGTATGGGATATGTAACCACTACCACGAATCAAGGACTTACCAAGCAGGCTTAACCACTTACGATTCTTGAGATGAGCCATTAAAAATACCCTGTTTGATTGGCTAATTGGTTGGGACGACTCATAGCTTCCTTAAAAATTGGGGATTCAATCAAATGTTGCATATGTAAGTGTACAAAGAGTCCAACAGAAACCCAGGACAATGGACTGGGTTGTTGCGAAAAATTGGGGATTCTGATATAAGCCATAGGATTGGGAAGCCTATCTCAACCAAGTTGTATCCCATGAGATCCCATGGTGAAGCAACACCGCCAGGTCCATCCTGATGACACGGTGGGAAACTTGCGACCTCTCGTGTTGGCAGCCGCACGTCCGGGCTCCACGGTGAGTAGGCTTAGTATCACCTACTTTTCAGGTTGGTGAACTAATTTTCATTTCATGGTAGATTGGATATGATTGGATTGGTTTACCTGATATTTTTTTGACTTGATGTCTTTTTGGTGTACATTGGAGTACTTTTCAGTGTTTCTTGGAGTTTTTGAGTGTTGTTGCTGTAGAATACTGGTTGACTTTGGTTGTTCGTTCCGCAGGATATTTTTTCAAAGTTGACGCGCTTTGACGATCACTGGATAGGAAGAAGGGACAATTTACAGGAGACTCTTATATTTGACGGGGAAAGCCATGGTTTCATGCACATTTTCCCTTCAACATCCTTCAACCTTCGCCTTTCCTAGGCCAAACTTCGATGATGAGTCGCCTAAGCGAAGCCACCGAACTTTCGGTTTGCCCACGCACCTTGCCCCAAGATGCCCCAAGAAAGTTCGGTGACTGGGTCGACATAGTCGATCCTGGACGGAAATTGGTCGATCTTGAATCTTTTGCCATGGGAACAATTGGAGGTCTCCTAAGGGTTACCCCCAAATCCTCAATTTTCAGAAGAGAGTTTCTATTGTACCATAAAAATGGTAGCATCATGTAGCATCATTTTTAGGAAACCACCATTTTTTCGCTAACCAGCTCAAAAACCTTGTTTTTTTGGCAGGGGATCTAAGATTGGCCACCTGGGTGAAGCTGGATAGTCACTGACGACGACCCCCAAGCTTCGATTTTTTGTTGGTTTCAAGGCTTGTGGGTGATGTCTAAATGGAGCATTTAATTCATCGAATGTGCACTGCGGAGCTCATGAGTCGGCTGCAAGGTTCAGTTTTACCCTGCAAATGAATGAATATGAGTTGGTATTCCTGCCACAGCCTTGGCTCCTGGATACTACAGCAGATTGCGACAGCCCGAAACTCCCTTGAAATATCCGTACTGAAGTCCATGAGTGGTTGTGGTGGTTTGACACAATCACTTATCACTTTCCTAATCTGTTTCGTTCCTATACCTATAGCATTATTCTTCTAGAGTTCTCACCCAGTAATTCCATGTAATTCCGTGTTTGCTCTCTGATTCAAGATGGGCCAAGTCAAAATTCCCAGTTCAGATAGCTTGGAATAGCTTGGAATATCCGGTTGCTTGGGATCATTCCAGCGGGGTTCCTGAGCATCCTGAGCCAGGCGTGACGTTGCTACGCTTTGACCTTTGCATCAACAATAAGGTGCGTTATCATCAAGGGTTGGCCCACTGAGCCCGACAAAATTGAAAACAACATTTAAGGTACCATGAAAAATGAGGCCCTAGGCATTTATATTGGATATGATGGATCAATATGTATGGATATGTCAGAGTTTGGAAGCTTGGATGAACTTGGAAGCGAAATGCTGTTTGTTGGTCTTCAACCTACCATTTGGGATTGGGACCAGGAGATCCTAGGAGACTCAGAAGCGCCAACCTTGGCATCGCCTATGGCCCTATGGGTTGAGGTTCTCTTCGATCATCAACTTATCTGTGACTGCCTGGAGTGTGAAGAGTCTGCCGAAGGTGCTGAATTTTGGTCGATCAGAGCCGGTTGGTTTGGTGGAATTGTTCATCACCAGAATGGCTTGGTCATAGGGAATCCTCCCACAAAAATCGCAATTTTTCAACAGGAAAATGATGGAAAATGATCAGAAAATCCATTGGAATGGGACCATGGGCTACCCTAAAAATTCAGACAAGCCAAACTGGCGATTTTTTCAGGTTTGTGACTTATGCCCAGTGGGAAAGGATGGATTGGATGATATGAAAGTAGTGGGCTGCCTCGACTGACCAAAAAAAATGGCACTTGAGGCAGTTCAGGGTGTTTTAGAAAGCCATAGCCTCTGGCAATCCAAACCGGTAATATGTCAATGGATCAATCATCTTGTGACCAATGATTTTTCCATGCTTTGCCATATTTTGCCATGATTTTTGTTGCGGTAGAAAATCCCACAAAATCCAGGAAAATCCCAGAAAGTCCATGTTTTTCCATATGGCTGGGCTCCGAGTGGCCGGGGATTTCGAGCAGATCTACCATGGCTGGTAAAGCAACCAGCAGATGTGGAAGCCATGGCTTCAATTTATGGATTTGATGGATGAATTACCTGTGAAAATTTTGGCTGTTCCACATTTTAGATCATTTTAGTTTGCCCCAGGGTAACATTTTTCGTGGCAAGTCAGAAGTTTTTGTGCCACTCATTTCAGCAGAAGTTTCTTGGCAACTTTTCAGCTTGTTTTACAATTGCTGGATGGTAGCTTAAAATTGAAGACCCGTTTAGCTGAAATGACTACCATGTTTCATAATCACCCTTCTCTTACAAAGTGGTGCCGCCGCAGTGATGTCTGGAGTAGTTTCGCCCATTAACTATGCATGTTACATCTACTGAAATCTATACTCATAAACCAACTTAGCTGTATCAAAAAAGCGGCTATCAACTATCAAAAACATGATCAACTATTATCAGATATATCAACATTAATATCAACTACATTTTTTGCATATTATAGCATCATATAGCCAACTTTACTACAGGATGGTGCCCCCCAGTTATAAGTTGGTTTATAAACCCCATTAACTATAGTTATATCTGCCATAAACCATAGTGAAATGGGAGTTATTGGCACCAACTTAGCTAACTATGGGGCACCTTGTACCGTACCATGTTTTTTTTTTTTTTTCGGATCCATGGGACCCATCTCCTGTTCCATCCCATCCAGGCGGCTTTGTGGACTCCGTGGACGTGGTCTACCTACCGGCTCCGTGTCTTGGAACTGCCTGTGGCTCTTCGGCAAGGCCTGGGCGAGTCGAAAGGGCGAGCCGAAAGGGCGGGACGACTCATGGGGGTGATACGATAGATAGATATGCTACAGTATAGTGTATATACATCATTAAAATATATAATACATATGTATATATATATTGTACTTATATATATATATATTACATATGTATATATATATATATATTGTACATTTAAATTTAAATGTTATATTATGTACTGTATATATATATAATTGTAATTATATATATATATATTTATGTATATATATGTATATATATATATAGCTGTATCTCCTATAACACAAGGATACATATGCATACACATGCATAATCAACAAATACATACAGTATGTATATATATCATACTTACAGACAAACGGATAGACGTTTTTTTACATACGTGCCAGGATTCATGATGTGATCTGGTCTCGGAAACGCGGTATTCCCAACGGATTCCCAACTTGCAAACGGTGATAAAAACAGGTGGGACCCAGCTTTTTTGGGGGTGTCTATGAGGATGGGATTAGTTGGATCGAAAGGTTCTTTTTGAGACCCCAGGTAGCAAGATAGCAAGGCGAGGTAGGCGAAGACGGATGAGATGAAAACCAAGTTTTTGGTGGGATGGGAAGGGCAGAAAAATCCATTTCATTTGGATGGTTAGATTGATCATGATTGATCTATATATACCTACCATCTAGTTCTGACTAACATAGCCATGGAAAATCCGAACCATAAATGGAGGTTTCTAGCTGGGAAAATCATCTATTTCTATGGGCCATGGCTTCCATGGCTATGTTAGTCATAACCAGAGGGTAAGTTTTTTTCCCTTTCTGGGATTCAATGGGAAGACCCTATATTTGCATCGTCCAGCTGACGGAGATATTTTTCTCAGCATGGCCATCAATAAACCCCAACTTAGCCTCTGGTAAACTAACATAGTTATGAACATCGCCATGTTTAATTGGGAAATCAACTATTTCAAAAAAACAATGCCATTTTCAATAGCAAACTCTTAGTCATTACCAAGAGGGTATCATCAACTATCATCCATTTATAGAAATCATCCATTTTTAGATGGACACATGAAAATAAGCCAACTGGGGATGGGTCAAAACCCTGGTACCTAGTGAACCCCCATAAAATAGCTGGGATTTATGGATGTTCATCCCACTATAAAAATGTATCTATAGGTATTGACCCATACCCATTTATAAGCCATTTATATCCATTTATAGAAATCATCCATTTTTAGATGGGATCGTCCATTGTACACATTTATAAGCCAACTATTTTGGGGATTCCAACTGCCCAAGGGGCCCCCATTTTGGGCCCCATTTTGGGGGGACAGGATTTGGAACCTCTCGGCACCTGGCTTTGGAACCGTGCTGGACCTTCCCAGCGATGCGACGGTGAGACGCCCGGGTTGATCAACGCTATATATCACCTACAAGATTTCATGACATATAGATATGATATGTGAATAACATATACATATACATATCATATACATATTACATATCATATCATATCATGTCATGTCATGTCATCTCATATCATGTCATGTCATGTCATGTCATGTCTAATATCATATCATATGTCATGTCTAATATCATTTCTATAATTACTATATCTAGAGAATATTATGAATCATTATCATACAATGTTAATATATACTGTAATCACCCAACAAAGATTAACACAGAGTAAACTCCTACTACACTTGTGGTAATTTGTTGTTCTATTTTTTGGGGTTGCTTGTAAACCGTGACTGACTTGGGCCTGAATCTGAGGACTTGTGCATGGATTTGTTCCCTTCTTGTGGAATGCCTGACAACTGGGTAACTGACATAAAACTCGGTCATGTTCCAAGTCTTTTGCTAAGTTTCTTCTAGGGGGTGTAGATATTCAGGAGAGGAGAACCTGGATTCCAGGGATATCTGCCTTCGATTCAGGTTAGCTGTCTAGTTCTTTTTCGCCCCAGGAAAGATCACCTTCATGCCTGACCAGCAGCACGTGTGGGCCCTGTGGTGTGACTTCAAGTCCATGCACACAGTTTTTGTTGTTGAAGGTAGGCAAAAGTCACAAACACCAGCAATATACCCTCTGGTAAACTAACATAACTATTGATATCACCACTTGTAATACGTAAATCAACTATGAATATGCTATTTCCCATAGCTATGTTAGCTTACCGGAGGGTAGATCAGAACAGTAAGGTATGTTGAGGCTTTGGAGGTGAAACTTAAAATCACAATCTGGGATTCAACACTAATTGATAATTCTTGGCAAGTATCAACCATAAACGGAGGTTGTGTATGAAATCATCCCATGTATCGGGGTAAATCCAATTTCACCATCAGCACATTGGGGCTGGTTGATTGTTGGGTTTGCAGTACCTCACTGCTCCCACGTGCGACCTGTATTTACTAGTCCTGTGTCAGAAAGGTCGTGACCAGCTCGGATGATGGCACTGCACGACTTTGGCGATTAGACGGAGGTGCACTGGGCCCGCTGGGCGCGCTGGGCGCTGGAGATGGGTCTTCATACCGAACCACAAGAGGGTCCGCAAACTTCATCTGGTTGGTGGTTTGGAACTATGGAATTTTATGACTTTCCAGAAACAGTTGGGAATTTCATCATCCCAACTGACGAACTCATATTTTTCAGAGGGGTTGGTAGGTATACCACCAACCAGTAATGGATCAAAAACCAACCTATTTGCACCATATTTTTTTGGCGACGACCATCCAACAAAAAACGAGCTCTTTGAATCTATTTGGACAGAGTTTTTGTTGCTGAGGTGGTAAACCAATTTTTTCACACACTATATCCAACATGACCGAACATGACATTACTATTTAAAAGTTGAAGACAAAGCCTAAATGGTTGGGGTTGAGAATTCCTTCCCCCTACCTCGCCCTTCCACAAGCCATGGTTTGCTACTGAATCTTGGCCAGGTCCTTAGCATCCTTAGCTACTCGGGCCTCAGATCGCAGGTTTCTAGATAACATTCTGACACATGTCATGGGAATCGGGATGAGATATACTCATAATGGTAGCAACAATAACAATAGTAAGACCAAGAAGAACAAGAAGAACAAGAAGAACAAGAAAAAGAACATAACAACAATAATAACAACAACAGCACCACCACCACCACCACCACCAACAACAACAACAACAACCACCACAACAACCACAACCACAACAACCACAACCACAACAACAAGAGCAGCGACAACGACGATAACGACAACGACAACAACAATGGTAGCAACAACTGCAAGAACACTATTGTTAAAAAAACACTATATATATAATAACGATTTCCATAGCTGTCATCAGCAGCTCCTTTGAACATGGACAAATCCAAGTTGTTGTGCTGAATCGCAGGTGAGTGCGTCCAGACCTTCCAACATCCGTCTTCCGTGAGCGCAACTTGGCGTATCCAGAGCTGTTTTTCAATTGATTGTGATTTTTCAATGGTTATACTCCTGAGGTTTTGATGTTCTACTTTGTTTTTCTAGTCTTGTTTCATTTATCAATGCTTTTCTCCTGTTTAATCCTACAATCCTCATGAAAACAAGCAGTTCCAACTGGGCCTCCAGACGTCTTTCCAAGACGTCCAGCAACAGGATCTGGCGTGTTCCAGCAACAGTGAGTTGCTCTTGACCCTTTCAAATGGACATGTCTCCGCGGCTCGGTGAACTGTAGACCGGTCAGGCTATGTGGTCCTGATCTCCTCCCATCTCTTAGTTTCGAGTTGTGAAAGTGAAAAAAGTTCCCAGATAATATGGTTAATTTATGTGGTCAATATACTGTTAATAATGGTTAATGATGGTTCATTAGCCACTGTTTTTGGGTAGCCAATGGTAGCCTCAGCATTTGGTGGCTAGCCATCTCAGCCCAAAATGAGCGTTGATGGCATGACGGGAATCCCACAGGCAGGTGATACTGTGGATGGGCCAGCGAAATCCTGCACCACCAAACGGATGGTTGAAAGCTTATAAATAATGGGATGTTTACCATCTATCAACTGGTGCAGGATTTTGCAACCATCCACAGTAACAACATATAGCAACTACAAAAATTCCCCATTTTTGTCGATGGATGATTCAGGGAAAATCTACATGACACCATGGGGTTTTTACCGCAAAAGACAAGGGGGGCCCTCGAAATTTACCCTTCAACCAAGTCTGCGAATGATTCACGATTCACCTATTCTCACGGGTGACTTTCCATTGCTGGCTTTGAATAGCACAGAGTCGTTTTTTTTGGGATCTGTATATGTGACCCATTCCAGTCACTGGTGGGACCATTGCAGCATCTCAGAAGCATCATCCACAATCATCCTGGTGGGTTTTTTTGGAACATCCTGAAAGCTGTCAATCCTCCCTTGAGACTGTCCCTGTGACCCTTTTGAGAGTTGTCCTTTATCTTTCCAAACATCTAGCTCACCTTTCCCCTTCTGTAGGCTGTGGATTAAACAATACTGTACACTATACATCAATATAATGACACGCCAAATATGCACCAAAACACTCCCAAAACAATCTGAAAGAGGAAGAGAGATAACCTGCTCAATGATTTTTGGGGTTCTGTACAAAAAAACATGTTTACAGATAACGACAAACATATGCAGTATATCCTGGTTGGTGGTTTGGAACATGGCTTTTATTTTTCCATTCAGTTGGGAATAGTAACCCCAACTGACTTTAACTCCATCATTTTTCAGAAGGGTTGGTTGAAGCCACCAACCAGTAATTATTATTAACCATTATTAACCATATAATAACCATATAATAACCATTATTAACAGTATCCCATAGGATCCATGTATGCTACAAAAATGGTAACATTTACCATCCATATACCCCATTCATGTTAGCATATATACCAGCACCATGGATCCGTCATGGGTACAATAACCATATAATAACCATATATTAACCATTATTAACAGTATATTAACAATGTTATTTTCCATGTTATTTTCAGATTTTCCATGAAATAAACCATCCAATTATTAATAATAACATATATTAACCATATAATAACCATATAATAACCATTAACCATATTAACCATATTAACCATTACAAACATTAACCATCATCATTAACCATCATCATCATTAACCATATAATAACCATTATTAACAGTATATTAACCAACATCAACCATTCTGAACCAGTACACAAGTCTCAGTTTGATGGCCAGGTTTGGAGGATAAAGACTGGGACGTGCATTTGGCACTTGGAGAACCTTGGACGCTGAGTTAAGACCTACAGGATGGTGCCCCCCAGTTATGTTTGTTGGTTTATAAACCCCATTAACTATAGTTATATCTGCCATAAACCATAGTTATGGGAGTTATTATAAGCCAACTTAGCTAACTATGGGGCACCACCTTGTAGGGTCTTTCGGATCATCGATCTGGGTAAATTTCATCACGACCTCACTGCGACCGAGCCCTGAAATCATGGTGAGTAAGGGGAATCATCCCCAAATGGCCTTAATTCAGGTTAGTGAAATATTATAATTTACCCAGATCGATCTATGACTCTAAGATATCTAAGTTGGGGATGTCTAAAAAATCGACTCCTGAAATTGGATGGTTACCCTCTGGTAAACATGCAACAAAATATGGAAATTTACCATGTTTAATGGGTAAATCCACTATTTCGACTGGGCCATTTTCAATAGCTATGTAACAAATTACCAGAGGGTAAATGCCTATGAAGAAGTTGTTCAGGGTCCATTGGTATCAGTCTTGCGTACCTAGATGGTTCTTGGGCGATTTTTATCGGGTTTCAACACCTGGAATGCAAGAGAACTAGTAACTAATATTGAGCAGAGAGCAAACAACACATGTTTATTTTCTAGAAAATTCTGCACCAAAGTGCAAATCAGTGAGCTCCTTGCCACCTTTGCCGCTTTGGGATTCCAGCTGCTACAGCCCTGCCAGGAACGTCTACATCCTCCAAGCGCTTTTCATTCCTCAGACCGAAGAGGTTCTGAGTATTGCAGATGAAACTCCAAAGAGCCTTGGATGGTGAGATTGCTGAAAGTGGGGGTGCCACTGCACCCAGATTGAAGGGTTTTGATCTGAAAATATCCAACTGGAGTTTGACAGTCGTGACGTCATGCTTCTGGCCATATCTTCGACTACAAGGCGGGGCCCCCGAACGATGGCTAAGTTGATTTATAAGTAGGTCGACCTAGGTTGACTATGGTTTAATGATGGGTGTATCTATAGTAAATCAACTTATAACTGCAGGGTTTGAACAACTCACCAGCAGGAAAGCCGGTCAAAAATCCTCATTGCCAGGCGGCTCCTCTGTTTTTCTTTCGTGATGCATCCCATCAGATTTTTCACAGCTCCTTTCTCTAATACCCTCGGGTAAACGTTTACATAACTATGGAAAATCACTATTTTTAATAGGTAAATCAACTATTTCTATGGGCCATGTTCAATAGGAAACTGTAACAGTCATTACCAGGCCGGGTAGGTGATTTTTGCCATTGAAATCATGATTTCCAAGGGGCGGACCCAGGATTTGGAACTTGCAGCGGTCAGATCCCATCGCGTCCCTAGAGGGACACAGTGCCGTGGTACTCTCGGCGCTGTGCTTTCCAAATGGTAGGGGATGCCCAGTGCTTTGCTCAGTCGCTATCGTTTCGATGGTCGTTTTGGTGTGGCCCAACCGTTGGACGGATACTGAATACTTAGTGGATTTATTGGGGACCCCAATTTATGGCAATGTCCATGGCAACAATGATGAAATCCCATGGCAGTTGACTCTTCCAGTCTCGGCGTCGCAAAAATGTGGATGGTCACTTTGTGGTGACCGCTCAGCATCTTCGAATCCAGTTCTGTCCGCAGAACCCTCGTATATCCCTGGTATTTGAGGGACTCCGGTTAAGATGTTCCCTTGAATCATCGCCAAAAACATAGAATAAACATAGAATAAACTGCACAAGATGGCCCGTCAGTTATAGGTTGGTTTAGTTTCAACTAATAACTAATAAATTGTAGATATTATATTCACCGGAAATCCCACTTATCCTAGTTCTAAACCAACTTACTTACCTTACATCAGATCCTATTCCTGCCATACTATCCTAGAATTTCCCATAAAATCGTGGGGGTTTCTGTTCCAACACATCCCAACCCCCTAAACTCGACCGGCGAGGTGAGCGCATTTGTAGCGGCGCATTGGACCGCAGCGTGCGACTCTGGCAGCGCGAGGTGGACAGCTGGGACAGCTGGAAGTGTTTGAGGACACTGCACCTGGGGCTGCGGGGATGGTGATTTCACTGATGGACAGCTGGAAAGTGGCTGAATTTCCACAGGTGCCGGAGATTCAACTCTGGATAACACATGGCAGTTGAACAGTTGGAGGCTTCACCAAGAAAGAAAATCGGATGTAGCTGGCGTAAATCTAGGCCTGACGGCTTAAATCTAGGGCCAGGGATTATGAACATGTCAAGCCCGGATTTGTGGTCTCCCTGGTTGACTTCTCCCAATAAGTGATGTGGTTGGTGGTTTCAAACATGGCTTGCAAAATTTTCCATTTTATATATGGGATGTCATCCCAACCCCATCTAGCCATTGACGAACTCCATCATTTTTCAAGATGGGCACATTGCACCACATTGACGAACTCCATCATTTTTCAAGATGGTTACCCTCTGGTAATTTGTTACATTGCTACTAGTATTGAAAATGGCACATTTATAGTGGATTTACCCAATCATTGAAAATGGTGATTTTCCATAGTTAATTATGTTAGTTTCCCAGAGGGTAAAACATGTTATTGCACCACCAACCAGTCATTTTTCGAAAGTCAAATATGGCATTGTATTCCCCCAACAGCTGCGATGTACACAAGCGAAATCACAACGGCTACCGGCACCTGCGGCTGCGGTGTCGCTCATGAAGTCATGGGATACGCCTCAGTTCACAGTGACCCCCTATTTTGGATGGTTCAGCATTCATAAATGGACCAGCTTTCTTGGATGTGTCAGTCAGCAACTGGATAGCATCTAACTGGGTGTATTCCATCTAACTGGTCAGTGAACTGCCCCCTACTTGCTCCTGTTAGATGGGTTTCACATCTAGTCCCGGAATGTCCCAGAAGGGAATAAGAAACCACCTTGCTTATGGTCAAAATCAGGTTTTTTTTGTATTATTTCCCAGTTAAACTATCCAAGTATTCGCTTACACACATTGATGATCATTGATGGATGTCGAATATATAACCATATATGATATGTATACAATATATACATATATATATATATTTACAGATCGTGATAAATGTGTGTATATATACATATAGATATACAATGATATACAGTAGTTTGTTTACATCATCTAACAAAACATCGCATGAATAACTTCGCCAAACTATGCTCATGTACATATGTACACATCAGAGAGTTATGACGACCTCACTGCGATGCCACTGTAGATGATGGTTAGCATCAGGGGCAAGTCCCAGCAAACGCTGAACTTATCAGATTAATGAATTGTAAAAACTATCAATGTATATATATATATATTATATACATGTATGTATACACAAACTTGTTTGGTTAATGGTGATTATCTAAGAAACATGATTGACAATTCATCCATCATCTCATCTCCCAATTGTTGGTTTTATCATGTTTTATCTCCCTAGACCCATGTAGATAATCAAATGTATAGAAATCTATAATCATATAAATTTATATAGTCATCTGGAATAGATAGAATATAACAAAGTCAAAAAGGCACCTCATGAAAACGGGAAGGTAATCTATTTTAGGATGATTGTATATTAATATATATATATATATATTATACGTACATGAATATTTCAAACAAGGTGCTGCTCCCTAGTTATATATATTGGTTCATAAACCCCACTAAAACTAGTTCGATATATCTACCATGAACCATAGTTAGCCTAGGCAAATAGACCAACTTAGCTATCGTTTGGGGTCACCTTAGTTATAGCTTAAATCAAACCCATTACATTCCAAATCCCATTATACTGTATCTCCATTGATTAGATATACCTTGTAATGGTTAGTATTCATGGTTACTAAGGTGATTATCCGAATATACTTACTATGTTTATATAGATAGTATTATATTGTTTCCATATTTCCCATGATTCACAGTATATATATATGCATATGTAGATCGATACACCTGATATATATATATAGATATACATAGATAATATAGACTATATATTATATATAACACCATATATGCCACCATTCTCCACCAATTACATTAAACCCCCATTAATTATATCCCCATGACATCTCCGTGGCCGCGTGGGCCCCCGAGGCATGGCCACTTCGATGGCATCCGCGCCCTAGCTCTGAGTCGCGACTTCATCGCCAGCGCATCGGGCTGCACAGCACGCGCCGCTTGGGCGTTGCGGCATGTTGCGGCACAAACGCTGTGAGTCGATGGGATTTTGCTTGGAAAAGAATTGAATTTCAGCATGAAAAACAATGATTCAGCCATAAAACATAGGGATTTAACTATGGAAAGATGCGACTTGCACAGCTAATATATATATATATAATTTCATGATTGTCATGGTCATTTCACCAACACTTCTGGCAGGATCGGATCAGGGTTTTTTTGGTTGGGATTTAACCAACAAAATTGGATTTCACCAGAATTTATCCATCAAAGATGCGGATTTCCACTGATCTTCCGACAAACTGGGGAATAAAAACAAACTACTGATGAAGCCTTGGATGGGTTGAAACTGGCCCAGCCAGTTTCAAAAGATGCAGGGTATCTTAGTTCCAGGTGATGCATAGATACACACCTGGAATGTTCGAATTTCCATCAGGGAACCAGGCTCCATAATTTTTGTTGGAGCCTGGATACAACCACTTGATGTTGGGGAGTGGGGACACATCTCATGATTTTAGAAAATCACTTGCCCTCTGGTAAACGTTTACATAACGAACTGGAAAGTCACTATGCGATAAATGGGTAAATCCACTACTATGGCCATTTTCAATAGCAAACTGTTTGTTTACCGGGTATCACTTTCCTCAATCAAATTGCCATAAATTGGCGAATCACCATCGGACAAACCGTTTCACGCTTCCATTAGACGCAGATGAATTAGTCGTGTGCCTTAGCTCACCATGCGCACCATATTTGGGGAATTCAGTGAACAACCAGGTGGTGCCCCATAGTTAGCTAAGTTGGTGCCAATAACTTCCATAACTATGGTTTATGGCAGATATAACTATAGTTAATGGGGTTTATAAACCAACAAACATAACTGGGGGGCACCATCCTGCAGGTGGTTTGATGTTCAAACCAGTGTTTTGTTCTTGATCCTTGGCTATATGGTCTTTCTCACCTGAACAATGCCCAAAATCCTAGTGTTTCTTGGTCAAAAGTATGGTAAGCCAAGTGGTTTGAGGAGGCTTTTGATTCTGGATACAACAAAAATGTTAGAATCCCTGGTCAAATTTCAGGAGTTCCAACTTAGTTCAAGGAATATCCTTTTCAATTTGAACTTTGTGGTAGAAACCTACTTTTTTTGGAATTGCCATGCTCACCTGATTTCAGGTCCATATTGTATGTACATAGACAACTCTTGTTCCAGTGATTCAATTCTCAAAGGTCAGCCACGAACTTGGTGTATTTGGGGTTCAGAGACCACCCCAGTTCTCAAGCGATGTGGGCTGACAACCTGAGCAGTTTCCGGCACTCATCCACATTACTTGGGGCGACCCAAAGGCTTTAAACAGACCAGGATTTAAACTCTGATTTGCCGCCAAACCCTGTAATTGTTACTGAGGTAGTGTACCATTCAAATTTGGAGAAACCATTGCATATTTGGCTATAGCTCTTCCAAGGGAGGGCCCATTGGGATTGGCAATCTCTTGAACAGACAAAAAAAGGGTTCCGAAGTATGTTACTGCACTCGATCAAACTACATGATCTTACAATATCTTACATGTAAAATACATAATAAAACATGATATTTTGGGAGATGTGAATCCTGAAATAAAAACAGCAGCCGTTTAACGATCCAAAATCTTCCAGGTCTGGTGCGCCGGGACTGGAAGCTGCGATTCCATCATCAACGACCATGCAGGACCCGAAGAGCATTCCTCTATCCACAGGGTGCCCTGTGGTGTAAAAAAAGGCTGGCCTGCGAAACGCAGGGTCAGGGGAAAAACATCCAAGCAAAAAAAAATCACAGACTTTGACAAGATCAGATAGAGTTTTTCATCCATTACTACTTCACATTACCATTAAAATCATGAAAAATCACTAGGGATACTACAGAAGCTTCCGCTGGGAGTTGATCCCATGGTCTGGATCCTGGGTACCTGGGCATAATTCTTCGTATGGGAAAAGCCAAAAATCGATCCATTGGCGACTCATGAGTTCCCTTAGAAAATGGCCATCGATTGGAGGTCAATTTTCCCTATTTTCCGAGCCCGTTGGTGGCTGGAGAACTTCGTCAGGATCCATTCATTGCATGCAGCACTTTGGCTGGAGCTGGTGGAAGTTCAATATTTCGAGTGCCAGAGTTGGGGGAGAGGTGCAAAGCTATCAAGACACGAGGACAGGTATGTAGCAGGCTGCCATATTTGGAGGATACATGTCCACATTCATCGCAGCTACTTTGAGGTTAAAAGCTGGATACACGGGGTTTGATCCATAGCCATGTATCATATGCAATGTGTTTGTTCAGAGGAATGCCCACAAAAGATCACTATGTCTACGCGTTATGGTAGGGTGGTACTTGATCAGCGTTTTTTTTTTTTTTATGGGGAAT